TCTTCCCTGTGAGGGTGGTGAGGCTCTGGCATGGGTTACCAGGAGAACCTGTGGATGCCCTGTGCCTGGGAGCATTCAGGGCCAGGTTGAACGGGGCTTTGAGCAATCTGGTCTAGTGCAAGGGGTCCCTGTGGCAGGGTGGTTGGCACTGTGGAAGACGTGGAATGTGGTGAAACTGGTATTTTAGCTTCAGTCTCATCTCTATGTGCATCACAAAACAGTTATTAAAGACATTTTTCAATAAGTAGTATGTATCTTATAAAAAATAAATTAATTCAATTCGAGGAATCTTACATCACTCTGTAGTTCGTAGACCCTCTTTGCCTGTTCGACATCAATCTGGTCTGGCAAACAAGTCCAGCGGTGTAGCACCCGTTTGTAGTCTACATCACTAACCAACTCCTGACATTTCTTAGCCAGAAGGAAGCCCAACATATCCACGGGCATATTAAACTTTGTCTTCCACTTTTCAAAATCTTTCTTGTACTCCCTCTCACTCTGCATCTTAGCAACTTGCATAGACCACAGCATCTTAGGATCATCCTGTAAGCTCCGGAATCCAATGTGATGTCCCTGCTGCTTGCGGTAACCTTCCTTGTACTTGTACTAAAATGAAAAAGATTGCATTATTGAAATTACTGTGAGAAACAATGGTAAAATATATAAACAAAACAGGAATATATTCTCTCAGTTAAATGTTTCTCATTAGCAAAGAATTGAGCAACTTGTTATGGCTTCTCATGAAAATTTTTAGTAGCCCCTTGATTAATGTGCATCATTTGGTGTCAGTGAACACTTTCCCTGGGAAGGAAGACAGTCCCTGGAAGTGAAGAGTGCATGGGTACAAGAATGGTCCCCTGTGTCATCCAGTTCATACAGACATACTGTTCAGAACTCCCAAAGGCTGACACACTGAAATATTTTGATGAATACAATAATTAGCAATGAAAATTGCAGACGCTTAAGCAGTGGAAATATTTCGTAATGATTAATAAAACCTCTTCCATAAATGCATGATTTTTATTCATACGAAGTTATGGTAACAGCAATATGTGTGTCACCACATCTATTTCAGAGTTTTAAAGAGAATTTCTCAGGATAGGCACTGAGATCAGCTAACTGGACTAAATTTGCTGCTGCTCTCAAAATGTGACACCCAGAAGAGCAGACAACTATTAACTTGGTATGACTAGCCACTCCATGGGTGGACCACAATCTTTGGAATTGTCAAGATGTCAGAGCAACCCTTCTTAAATTTTCTTCACTGACAAGAACAGATCAGGAAAGAGTTTTGCCAGCAATTTTGCTTTTCACTCTAGGCCACACCTTAGCAAAAAGGTGTACCTCAGTCTAGCGCGACTCTGTAGGTTATAGCAACTAGATAAAGTGTCTGTCATATTAAATTAGAAATATTGCTTACGTCACTTGCAATGTCCCTTGAAGCTTTGGCAGTTTTCACCGAAATGGCTTCAGGTGTCAGGTCATAGCCTTTCTTTATCATCTCCTCCCAGCCAAGCTTGTAGAGTTTCTAAAATTTAAACCAGTATTAATTTAAAAGTCTTAGTAATACGTACGTCACCTTCTATTTAGATCTGTTAATGAGCCATAATACCAAATTCTGATCACCTCTCAGACTGCAGAATGGAAACTGAGAATAAGCAAGGAATGCAGGTATTCCAAGTCTTAGGCTAGTAACTAAATAGTTTTTCTTTACTGCAGCAGCTTCCTACTATGGCTTATCCTGAAGATCTGAAACATATATGGGGAATTTGAAATATATACATCTGGGATTACTGAAAACTTTTCAGTTGGCTTAACAAAATTGTTATTAATAAGGCTGTAACATAGCCATTTAATAGTCAAATCAGTTTGTGCATGGTTGTTTTTAAGTACCAGCACTTGCAAGTCAAAATTTTGCCTCCAGGCAATCCTGCAAAGCAAAACCTAAGTATTTTATACTAGCGCAATTGTCACTTTCTTGTATTTGAAAGCTGACAGAGAAGTTAGAATCAGTGATGTATTTCTTTTCCCACATGTTAAACATATACACAATAAAACTGTAATTTTTTAGTAAGAAATTGTTAATGTATTTGATTTCTATGGCAAGCATAGGGTATGGATCATTCACATCCAGATTTCAAAATTAGGACTTATCTTTTCCATACACTAAAATGCAATTTAGGCTGCTACTTTGCTAGCCTGAAAATGGTATTGTTGCTACTCTGAAAACATTACTCATGTAAAAATTCTTGCCTCTGTCCTAAATCACCCATTCCATTTTTTCTAACTTACAAATTAATTACTTATTTTGAAATGCGAGGCACCCTTAAATTTTAATAAAGTAGGTATTAATTTAAAATGTAATAGGAAGTATTAAAAAACTCTACCTGGCTGTAGTTCGCCTTGTTCTGTTTTGCCTGTAGAATATCTGGTGTATCTGGCATCACATGAACCTGAACTTTATCCTTCTCCCAAGCTTGAGTATAAGCATGCTATTGAAAAAAATAACATCAGATATGTTAATATAAATGACAAAGCATGGCTCTTTTGCAGTTTTCACCTTTCCATTTGTGCACTTTGGATGTGGATGGGTAAAAAGAATGCAGTGATGACTTAGATTTATCTTACTATATAATGATCCAATCCAGGATCAGCTGAATTAGGATCCAGCCTTGCTTCTAATCAAGCCCAACTATCAAGATTTTCAGGGCCAGTAACTTCTATACAAGTATGAGAAGAATAGAGGTTGGAGAGCTAGCAATGAGAAAAATTTATTTAACCAATGTTATCTATCAGTAACTGAATATTTCACTAAGAGTGAGGGGAAAAAAAAAGGGGGCGGGGAACCTGTGACAGTTGTTTTTTCCCAGGAAACACTGCTACCTACGTAAAGGTGGTGACAGAGACAACTGTTGCCTGAAATGGATTAGCTGTGAATGTCTGCCTAATTTTCCCCTTAAACACTCACTTTGTTCATTATATTTGCATTCTGTTTTGCAAGGACCATGTCCATGGAATCGTTCTGTTTTGTAAAGCGGAATATGCTGGGATGCTGGCGGTATTTCTGATCACTTGCAATTTCCATGGCTTTCTTAGATTTCTCCACATCCAGAGAGCCAGCAGGACTCCAACCAATACCCTTGAAACACTCATTATATTCCTGCTTGTACTCATTCTGCCAAACAATACAAAAGGAAAGTTTACAATATACAAATGGCTCATATAAAATAGTCTGTTGTTTCCAAAACACAGCCATAATGAAAAAGCAGGAAAAAAAGGTCACAGCTGTGAATGACAGAAAGACAAGAGAAACTTACGTCGCTTTGTATCTGATTCATGTTTCTGTACAGTTCTAAACTCATTGCATCTGGTAGCAGCATATATTGGTGAATCAGTCGTTTGTATTTAGTATTGGTTATGCGATCTTGTGCCTCCTTAGCTGCTACAATGCTGAGCGTATCAGAAGGCGTATGGTAATGTGTCTTGCTCGCCTCATAACCTTTCTTGTACTCACGATCAGACTGCATCTTAGCCACTTGCATATAATGGACAAGTTTGGGATCATCCTGAAGACTGCGGAAGCCTACAAGTTTTCCCTTGTCTTGTTCATAACCTAATTTGTATTTGTACTGTAAAGAGAATAGAGACAGAGACTTTAATTCTACTTCATTTGTTTAAATCGCAATATCTATTGTGTAAGGAGAAATCCCTAAAACTTAGATTAGTTTTTACATAATTAAGAAAACATCACAAAGCAGATAGAGGTGGTGGCTTTGTTGTAAAAAAAAAAAAAAAAAAAAAAAGTGGTGGGCTAAATAAAACGTCTTCACGTTCCTCTCAGGCTGGATTTGTCCCTGACACAGCAAGTGTCTCATCACGGATACACAACAGAATTCAGAATGGTCCTGACTCCAGAAACTTATATGCTCTGCACCGAGAAATGTAATGAGACTTTCACCAAAGGAATAAAGATAGTTGTACCACAGCAGTAAAAATAATTTTAGTCCGTATCAGTTCTTTTCGAATATTTCTTAGAACAATCTCTGATCCTTCTGTTTAAACTACAAATACAAGACGTACATTTATCAACTATCCAAGAACCATCACACTGAGGAATAAATTGCCCTATTCTTTTTTTCCTCAAAGTCCCTCATATATTTCCTTACCTTTCTAATGAAGACATTTTTCTTTAACCTTTCTAGAAAATGTATTAGAATATATATTGTATATTTCAGAATTATTTACAAGCAAAAGAATGAAGAGATTTCGTATATTTGGCATACAAAATTGAACTGTGCCAAGAAATGAATGCTTTACAACATCTGAAATGGATTGTGTTTTCTTTCAAGAACTTACATCACTAGCAATATCCCTAGAAGCTTTGGCAGCTTTAATAGGGATAGCATCAGCTCTGAGGTCATACCCTTTCTTCCTAGATTCTTCAAATGAAAGTCTGTACATTTTCTGTGAAAAGAAAGAAAAGAAACATCCTTTAATATGACAGAACACACCACAGCCACTTAAACAAAACTATTAATTTCATACAATAATGTGAATCACAGACTATTCCTATATTTAACACTCCTTGAACAGTTAAGGCACTCAAGGAACACAGAGAGATGAATACCTACTCAAAATTAACTCCAGTCCTAGTATTCATACATCAGCGCAGCTGGGCTGCATTATAATCAGTAACAATACCCTATAATAAAAGAGCAAGCAATTGCATTCGTTTTCCACATGTGCAGAAATTGGTGACACGTTACACCTGTAAGTATGCCACTTTTAAAAAAACGAGATAAATATGTCTATTTCTATGCACACTGAAGATGTGCAAAATTACAAACAATATTTAGCATAGACAGGCTTAACAACTGGCTACTGAAAAACTCTCTAATCCCATCCATTACTGAAAGAATAGGTTCAATTTGCAAGAATTTTGTATCCTGTACAGAACACTGCACATAGGGAAATAATATAATAAATACAGTAACAAACAAGGAAAGTACTCAAACTCTACTATTACTGACTATTTTGTCAGTAACTATTACATTTTAATAACCTACATAAACACTTCATAATCTAACTATAAATACTATGGTTTAAATTTCAGTATTTAATTTTTGGGAAAGAAAGCAGGAAAAGGAAAATTAATAGCTTTTTGTGAAATGACTACAGGTTAGCAAAGTGAGAACGAGGGATAATTTCGTATGCTGTCTTCTCACTTATTCCTAATTAAAAAATAATTGAAAAAATAAAGAACAGTACTCACATCACTTAGATTAAATGCATTAACTTTTGCCAAAGCAATCTGTGGAATATCTGGTGTGATGTGAACTTTCTTTTTGTCTTCTTCCCATGCCTGTTTGTACTTGTGCTGGAAGGATTAAAAAAAAATAAAAAATCAGCATAGCAAAAAAATGACATGAAATAGTTTAAAAGAATATTTCCTATTTGAAATGCAAACTTCCTTTACAATGATGTAACCACTAACATAGTAGGAGCATTTGTCTTTTTATTTTAGCACTTAAAAGCAGTGTGAATCACTGAAAGGCAAAAAAAGATAGATTTCAAAAACATACTGGGTCTGGCTGGGATGGAGTTAATCATCTTCACTGCAGCTCTAACCATGCTTTGTTTTAGATTTGTGACTAAAATAATGCTGGTAACACACCAATGTTTCAGCTGTTGCTGACCAGCATGTGCACAGTATCAAGGCCTTCACTGTTTCTCTGTGCCCCCACAGTGAATACACTGGGGATGTGCAAGAGGTTGGGAAGGGACATAACCAGGTAGATGAACCCAGCTAACCAAAGAGGTATGCCATGCCACATAATGTCATGCTCAGCAAATAAAAAGGAGGCAGAGAGGGCTTTGCTTGCAAACTAGCTGGACATCAGCTTTCCTGTGGGAGGTGGCAAGCAACTGCTTTTGCATCACTTGTTTTGTTTTCTCTCTTCTTCCACTTTTCCTTTGCTTATTAAACATTTATTATCTTGACCCACAAGGCTTTCATGCTTTTACTTTGCCTTTCCTCTTCCCCATCCCACTGTAGGGGAGGAAGTGAGCAAGTGGCTGTGTGGTGCTTAGCTGCCTACCAGAGTCAACCCACAGCTAAAAGCCAAGCCAGAAGATATGAGAAAAAAAAAAGTGTTACATGTGGAAGATTATTAGTTTATCTCCTGGAAAGTAAATATTAGTTGAGAGAGGCAATAAAGCTTTTCTTAGAGGAAACAGAGCTAAGGAAAGTAAAAGTAAGATTCTGATGGTCTCTGTAACTACAATGCACCTGAAGCCTAGATATTTCTAAGGAACACCAGCAGATTACATCAGTTCAGCAGGAGAACTAGAAAATAAATATCTCATTATAACAGTATTCATATCATGAGTAATTTCGTATTAATGTAACAGGCATCAGATGAAATGGACTGCAAATTTAAAAGTTTAAAGCCTGTTTCTGAAAGGGATCACTCCAGTATTTTAAGCCCCTGGATTTAAACTGCTAAAAGGTTAAAATCAGTTATCTTGAGCAAACTTCATCAATAAAATGCAACACACACATCCTGCTCTGTTTTTATACGTATTTCTTAGAAATATTAGGGTCATGATTTGCTTTCAGGTATATCAAAGGTCTGTTAAGATGAAATGCAATTACAGTCAAGCATATTCATTAGCTGCCAAAATCAACAATTTCCAAAGCTATGCACATAGTAAGATTGACTACTACATCAAGTATAGTTTGTTTCTTACTTCTGCAAACTTAAATAAATTTTGACTAACACTTTCTTACCTCATCCATGATTTTAGCATTATTTAAAGCTAAGACCATGCTCATGGAATCCATAGGAACAGAATATTTCAGCTTGTCTGGATGCTGGCGATACTTCTTTTCACTAACGATTTCCATTGCTTTCTTATTCTTTTCAGCTTCCAGGGAGCCCAGTGGTACCCATCCAACACCCTTCATACTTTCATCATATTCTGCTCTGTATTGATTCTGAAGGCAGAAAGAAAAGAAAACAATCAGATTTAGGGAAAAGTTTGTAAATCATAACACTTATTTCTGTGTTTAATGAATGTTAGATTTTGAATGCACTTACTCTAAAAAAAAGCACAGTATCAAGATGCATTCAAGGTTTACTTAGAAACACATTTGTTAGTGGTGTCTGTATTTTACTACTCTGCCTTTTATACAATGTGCAGATCCTTCTTATGATGTATATAGATTGCTTGCATGAAATTACATACTCAAGCCCTCTAGAAGGAAATCATCTTGAACTACCCTACTAAGAAAAAAAGGCCCTCCTCTCTAGAGGTTAAAAATCCCAGAAAATCTGAGACTATGGCTATTTAGCTGGTTTCCTCTTCTTCTAAAAAGACATCTTTTTGGAAGTGCAATACAAAACTGTTAACGAAAAGTGAACCTTTTCCTGCCTTGGCATGCACACAAATATTGCTCCTGGAGATCTGATGGGATATGTAAACAGTAAATATCCATTTCACTTTATACATAAAATTATTTATTTCTGAGCCCAAATTCCTTAGCAATAGGTGTAATTTAATATTTCAGTCTTAGAAAAATAGAATGACTATCACTGCTGAAGGTCTTGTTACATTGCTACATTTTAGTATATAACTGAACTAATTGCACTAGGAAAACAGTATTATTTATCTTACAATATGCTTTCATAAACCATGCATCATCATATTCACAATGCAAAGGGTGAAGAATCTCTCACTTACATCACTTTGTATCTGCATCATGGTTTTGGCTAATTCAAGACTCATAGCATCAGGCAGAACACTGTAGGTGTGAATCAAGTTTTTGTAGTTTACATTTGTAGCTACTTCCTGTGCCTTTTTGGCTGACACAACACTGAACATGTCAACTGGAGTATGGAAATTAGTCTTTGCTTTCTCATAGTCTTTTTTGTATTCACGATCAGACTGCATCTTAGCCACCTGCATGAAGTGCACCAACTTGGGGTCGTCTTCAAGGCTGCGGAATCCAATATGCTTTCCTTTTGCTTTTTCATAGGCTAGTTTATATTTATACTGACAGCAGGAAAGACAAAGAACAGCAAAAAAAAAAAAATCAAAAATATGTTCTATTAAGCTCAATCATATCCCTGAAAACAGAAAGTATCTGGGGGTTTTTCATCATGACATCTCAGATTTAGTCATTTCAACATAGTCTTACAAAACAGCTCATGGCACAGGCACATGAAGCTCAGCAGCTTGCTGAACAAAGAGCAAAAAAAGCACAATTCAATATTTTTCCACTGGAGAGCAAATACTGCAAAGGCTTATACCATTGAGCATACAATTGAAACATAAACAACTTAAGATGCTTGAAAAAGCTTATTTATGCATAACAGAACACCTTGAAAACACTCTCTTACTGTCTTTGTAGCTACTCTGAGTACTATCACACAATCAAACTTACATCACTTGCAATGTCTCCAGAGGCTTTGGCTGCTTTTATTGGAATGGCGTCTGGCTGCAAGTCGTAACCTTTCTTCTTGTCTTCCTCCCATCCAGCTTTGTAAAGTTTCTAATTTAAAACATAAAAGAGAACATGTTCTCTATTATGAAGGCAGAACTACTGAAGCACCCTCCATCTTAACTTAAAAAAGACGTAAAATGACACAAATTTTTGCAACAGACACTGAATGCCCCATGTGAGCATGGTAACTCACATTACTCATTGTGATCTGGTTCACTCTAGACTGCAGAATTTCTGGAGTATCTGGCATAACATGAATGCTGGTCTTCTCTTTGTTCCACTTATCAGTGTAGAGCCTCTGCAATTAAAAAGTAATTTTTAGCACTGAAAAAGCATTGCACTCATAAAATAAGAGCTTGCTTTTGTTTTGCTCATTTGCAATAAAAAACATTTTAAAGTGTCATAAGCACTATAAATAATCTTCACAAATACAACTGCTGAGTGGCAATATTATATTTCTCCTCTTCTGTTAGTACTGAATTTGGGAAATATGCAAAGTATGTTTTGATAACTAGTAAATACTTAAAAGGAATATTTCAGTCTGGATTTTCTCCTGCTTTAATGCAAAGCATAAACTTTTTTTTCCACACACCCTCTTTCCACGGCAAACATGGAATGTGGGATCAGTGGTGCCCCAGACAATGAGGCACAAATTTAAAGAACTCCTCTTTTCAAGGCAATTTGTACATAACTAACAGAATTTCAGGGTTTTTTCAGCTCACTGATTATAGGAATATTACTTCCTGCGGAAAAAGAGCGAAGGTTACCAAAACACTATAAATCTGGAGAAGACATTTTTACTCACATACACAAAAGAGAAATCATTAATCTTTTTAAACAGAAAATTAAACCCCTTGATTATGAACAATCTGAGGCTTCCAGCATCTCTTAGTGTCCATCTTAATGAAGCAAATTATTGTACTTGTTGAATTCTAGTGACTTCTATGGGAATGCACCTGCTCCACAATTTTGCAAGACAACGACCCAAACTCTGACTCACGATCATCTGCACAAATTCTCACCTTATTCATGGTCTTGGCATTTTGCTTAGCTAGCACTTGCTCCATTGCATCCATTGTAATAGAGTACTTCAGCTTGTCTGGGTGCTGGCGGTACTTCTTCTCACTGAGAATCTCTGTAGCTTTTTTGGCCTTTTCTACATCCAGTGACTGAATTGGTACCCAGCCAACTCCTCTCAACCAGTTATTAAAGTCTGCTTTATACACATTCTTTTAAAAAATAGACAAGGAAGACCACAGTAAGACTGTGAATAGGAAAATTAGAATGCCTATATAAATAAAAACAGGCAAGGCCTTAAAACTTCTCATGGTTATTCATTTTTTAAGGAAAATTTAGACAAGCCTGTTATAACTGCTACTGTTTTCCATATTCTTAGCATAACGTTAACAGCTATGAATGTGTTAGGGATAAAGAAATTCTTTTCACTAAACCAACATGTATAACTCTAACTACAAACCAAATGCACAAACCTTAATACAAATTTTGAGTGTTAAATATAAAATTCTGTCAAAAATATAATATTTTTCTTAACTGACACTCTTGTTTGTTGGTGACTCATTTTGCAGTAGAATTAATTTAGGGAAATTGTTTCAACAACTTCTCTTAATGGCCTTGTTCTGCACAATCTTGACTAGACACCGTTCCTATTTAGTTGGACTTCAGAACAGATAAAGGTACGAAAATACTGCAACAATAAAACCTGTTCCTGAACTGCAGAGTTAGGATTAACAAGGAAAATATCAGGGTCTGAGAGTAAAACTACATACTTTCATAGCATGTGTATACAGGGCAAAATTTGTCCTCAAGTATCACGCTTCTCTCCTTGCAAACATCTGAGACAGCCAAGCAAGCTTAGCCAGCACAGTAAGGTCAAGTAAAAATACAATGGGGAAGAAAAAAACTTGAGATGCAAATTTCTGTGTTCGAAAAGAACAGTGCCTAAAGGTCAACTCCTCTATCTGTTGGCCAATGGGAACATGCACATGATCCTCTCCAAACAATACTTATAATCTCAAGAACACTTTCAATCAGATTATTAACGTTTGAGGGAACTTGACTGTTAAATAAAGCAGATTAAACTAAATATTTCTTGATAAACAAGCAGAGCCTGAAGTTACACTACCGGAAGAAAAAAAAAAAACAAAACGGGAAAACAAGTCACAGAACTTAATGGAAACTACAAAGCTTTTTTAGGGGTCCTTATCATGAGTGGCGTATGCATCTCTGGGAGGATAAAGGCAGGAAAGAAAAGTGAACAAAATAAAATAATCTCAAATCCCTAGATATAATACAAATGTACATAATGTATATTTTTTGTAAACTTGAATAAAATATAGTGAGAATTTAGACTCTACGTAACAGTCTAACAATCTGACAATACAAATAATAATCACAGTAACAACACATTCAAATCCAACTACAAAAAAACATGAGTTAGAAAAATGTGTTCATTTGCTGAGAATTAGCCAAATATGTAGAGATACAAAGGAAGTTGTTACTTGCTAGGTAATCCCTAGAATTTATCAGCTACACATAATTTTGATAATTTTTGGAAAATATAGGGTTCCAGACCCAATGTTTATACCTCGATCTACTGTTAATCCAATATAGTTAATTTTTTATCCTTAAAATGTTAACAGTATAACACAGTCATTATGAGAAGGAAAAAAATGAGATGATTAATCATTACATACGTCACTCTGAAGCTGCATCACATTTCTTGATAGCTCCAGATTCACAGAATCAGGCAAGAGTGTATAATTGTGAATTGGCTGCTTATAGCCAGTATTCGTAATTGCTTCCTGGGCTTTCTTGGCAGCTGTCACGCTGAACATATCCAAGGGAGTATGATATTTGGTCTTGGTGACTTCATAATCCTTCTTGTATTCACGATCTGATTGCATTTTGGCCACATTCATGTAATGGACAAGTTTAGGATCATCCTGAAGGCTACGGTATCCAACCTGTTTGCCTTTACCTTTCTCATATGATTCCTTGTACTTGTACTAGAGACAAAAGAAAAGAAAGCCTTTACCCACTTTGGAAAGACAAAGTACACTTTTGATATTTTTAATATTGTGACACTCAGTATTTTAACAACTGCCATTCATTCTTAATAAACATTTTTAGGGCAAAAAGTAGAACAGGATTTCTAGATTTCTCTGCTTGTTTTGACCGCTGGTATAGATCTAAACCTGGATATGCAGTTACATGCCCTCCCTCACCATTGCCTCTGCCACATTAGATTTTACTGCCATAAACTTCTAACTCCCAGGAATATTCAGCTTTTCATTAAAAGCCTAGCATAATAATATATTATTGAAAAGCCCAAGACTATCAGACAATTAGATATCCCAATATTCAGCTATTGGAGGGAGGTAATTTTTTAGTGGACAGTGGAAGTTGTTTTAGCCATTTCCTAGAGTTAGTGAATTTATTTCTGTGTTCCAAATCCCCTTTCATAGCTTGTGCCAGACAGTACACAAAGTTTACTATTGTCAAATAATGTAGCTGCCTGAACACAGCCATATGTCTGTACCACTCATGAATGCCAGTCAAGTAGAAGTACAGGTCTCCAGCAATTAAGAATACAGCACAGGTAAGTTATAACAAAGGAACATCCAAATATGCTGGTGAATACATGAAGCACATAAAACAACTAGCCCCAGCTCACCAGCGCTCACACACATTATGATGCATTTCCAAAGCAACAGGTTTTTTCAGACATTTATGTAAACATCTGAATTTACTTCTTATTTAAAGTATCATAAGAATTCCAGTTCTCAGGGTTAACTGTCTCTATACCATTATAAATACACAGCATACACTCTGTAGCACACTATGTTAGTGAAGGCTGGAACACAGTAGATATATGTATTCCACTTCACGTAAACTATACTTACATCACTTGCAATATTCCGCGAAGCCTTAGCGGCAATGATAGGAATTGCATCTGGTTTAAGGTCATATCCTTTGGCTATGGTCTTTTTCCAGTCTGCTTTGTAGTTAGCCTTATAGGGGAAAAGGTATGAGTTCACAAAGGTATGAGTAACAATTTTAACACAGTTGTTTAAGCCCATATTTTTATTATAGTTATGGGAATCAAAATACTCAGTTTATTCCGTGCAATTGCAAGGAAAAATGTTGACCTTACAGAAACCACACCTATATTCTTATGAATAAATTGACTACAAAGATAGGAGAGTCCTTCAAGACAATCAGTTTAACACATGTAGACAAATCGCTAACTCTGTAAGCATTTTTTGCAATTTTAATGCAGAACAACAATATTGCAAGGCATTTTTGCCCTTGCTTAAGCAAACCCCTTTCTCATTTGACTGAAACTTCAGAAATTTTTTCCCGTTAGCTTCAAAATTAGGCCTTGTGATCTTGACCAACTGAAGAAAGCAGTCTGTCTGGTTTTTGTTAGCAGTTAGCATCTGGACAGACTATCAGTATTTCAAGGCTATTAAAGGAGATTTTACCTAGTTCCTGGGGGCCTGATAATGCCACCAAAACACTTAATATCATGAAGGGAATAAATGTGATCCTACTAGTGGAGATCCTTGTGGTGTTGGATGGATGGAAGTGATGTAAAGGAGGCAGAAACAGCAGAAAAAGGCATTATTATCTTGTCACTGGATGAGTTAATTTCCTTTGAAAGCCCAGCAGGAGGAAGCAACATACAGAGAACTTGTACTGCTTGCCTCTGTGGTGCACTTCATATAAAAGTAGACGACATAAGTCTCCAAACCTACAGGAATCTGAGCAATTTTCTCATTCAGTCTATCCAAGTATTTTGGCAATAAAGCATTGAAACGTGTTTTTGTTCATGAATGCTCAGACAGTTTAAAAATTTGCTTTACAAGCACAAAACTCATTGTCTTTTAGAAGTAAAAGTTTAGCTGAATTCAGAGCTTGTGCATTTCTATATTCAATATCATAGCACAAACAAGTTATTTCTTCTACTAAGTAAATTACAAATCAATATATTATTGACCAGACTATTGGTTATATGCTTACATCACTCAGATTGTAGGCATTGACCCTGGCTTGAATAAACTGAGGAACATCAGGATCCAGGGTGTATTTGTGTTTTAGTTTTTCACCCTCTTGTTTATATGTTACCTGCAAGGAAAAATAAACAAATACTTCTTGGAAAGTGGGTAATATTAGCGTTAACAAATAGAGACAATGCAACAATGCGTAATTCTTACCAACAAATGGCAAATTTACTATTTTTACAGGTTTTAAAATGTAACTTCTTCTTTTTTTTTGGTGGAATGTCAAACAGTAACACAGAAATCATAAATATGATAAAAATGAAAATCACTACATTGCATTAATAATGAAGAATTCCTTACATCACTCAGTTGCTTGGTGTTGTGCTGAGCTAAAACCATTGGCATTGAATCTGGTATACTTGTAAATTTGATGGTGTCTGGGTGCTGACGGTATTTCTTTTCATTTAATGCCTCCCCGGCTTTTTTAGCTTTTTCAAGATCCAGAGAACCAAGAGGACTCCATCCAATACCCTTGAACCAGCTGTTATAATCTTGTTTGTATGCATTCTGAAGGAGAAAAAGCCAACACGGACCAATATTTTCCCAGAGAACTGTTATAATTCTGTTTAAAGCAATAATCACATAGTCCAGCTATCATATTCTACATGAGCAGGAAATATTTATAAATTCTTGACGGGAACAGTAGATACTTCTTATGCTTCCCTAATTTTATAAGGAAGAAAACGATAGTGGTTTTGATTCATGAGTCATGAATCCAGTATTTACTAACCATCTTTTTCTTTTACCTATGTGAAAAACTTCACCAACCTTCAGTTCTTATTAACTTCTAAACTACCATATGGTGACTGCTTAATTTGTTCTGTGTTTCAGCAGACTCTATGAGACTTGGCCTTATACAGACGTTCCACAGAGGTTCAATTTTTGAGTTTTTTCTTATAGTTCCTCCTACAGTAAAATATGCAGAGTTCACAGACTGCAAGTGCAAATTTATCATGGCTACAAAATATGCAGAAGGTTATCCCATATAAACATTCAAAGTTAATGCACAGTCCAAATGCAAGGATATTGTGTACACTCTTTTTTTAAGACCCTTCTGTGTTCTAACTCTAAAATGAGTGGTCCTCCACAGGGATCCACGCAGAGTCAAATTCTGCAGTATAAAAGGAGGTGCAGACCGCAACCACGTATGCCCAGTCAACCATTTGAAACTTCCTATCTGCAAGAAGGACCAAGAAGCTCCTAGGAGATAACTCCTATACTAGAGATCTCCAGAATGTATTCCTAACAATATCAATAGCTTAATTTTGTCCATTCCTTCATCCTAATTGGTTAACAATAGTCCCACTACACTATCCTATCTATCATCTCCTATAATAAAAAGCAAGACAACTTAAAAGAAGTCTTAAGGAATAAAACAAAATTATGTCACCTGCAAAATAAAGTTTTCTGAGGAAATGTGAGGAAAAATAGAATAAATTAATTTGAATTCAGCATTTCAAAAGTCAGCTCTCCACTGATATGCCAACACCAAAATCCTGTTGATAAGAACTCACCTGCAATTTGGTATTTCTAAATGCCACCAGCTGATAAAACTTCTATCTATCTTCTCCAAGACATAAGAAAAACAGACCATTCTGATACAGTAATGGCAATTTTAATGAAATATAAACTCATACTTTATCTTCACAGTATGAAGGAAAACATCCATGAAATTGCTATCATTGAAATACTTACATCACTCTGAATTTGCATCATGTTCTTTGCAAGCTCAACATCCATGGCATCTGGCAGATAAGTGTAGTGATGGATCAGTTTTTTGTAATTAGCATTAGAAGCTACATCCTGAGACTGTTTAGCCGCCTGGATACTGTACATGTCAGGAGTTGCATGATAGTTAGTCTTGCTCTTCTCATAGTCTTTCTTGTACTCACGCTCAGACTGAATCTTTGCTACATTCATGTAGTGGACAAGCTTAGGGTCATCTTGCAGGCTTCTGAAACCAAACTGTTTTCCTTTAGCCTTCTCATATGCTTCTTTATATTTATACTAGAAACAGAGGAAAGACAGTGGTATGGCAACTTATGTCCACACTAATGCAAAAGAAAAGAAAAGCTCTCACAACTGTCATTGGAAAAAGAAGCTGCAAGCAGTTCATAGAGATAAACTCTCCTAATTGGCACACCCAGTGACTGTATATACATGAGCTTTTCTTGCTGCACCATCTAAGCCTATATGCTGCAGGTTATGTGCACCACAGTAAGATTTATCAGTATTAGCTTTTCTTTTAAGTAAGAGAAAATATTTCCTAAGCATTCCTGTGCAGAAAGGTGTATGAAAAATATCAGAATAACTGAGACAAACCTTCTCAGTCATTTGAAAACAATAGCAAATAAATGGAATATGACTGGAGAGCTTCCTCTAGTTACACAAAACCACCAGTACATATCCCACCTTACACAATTTGTACTACATGGCCCTCTAATTCATGTATAATCCATATTCCACTGTGTAACCAAAAGCACGCTGAACATGTGTTGTCTTGTGGTCTTTAAATTGGTGACAATGTAGTGTGTAGAATGTTTCTGGAAATTTCTCACAGAATGTTTGGAGGAACTACTGATTTCATTTCTCCTGTGCCAAGTGGGTTAAGAAACACAGTGCAATAACATTTGCCTATATCTAAAGCAAACAAGATGAGCATAAAATAATTTTGGTGCAAACTAAGCCTTTGGGAAAGACTAAGAATCTCTTTCTCATAATGCTGGCTCTAGGAGACTTGTGCAACACATGAGGTCTACCATACAGCCTGTAAGGGACAACATTCTACTAAATGTCTAGAAAAGCATACCTGGAGTAGATACTTACATCACTAGCAATGTTTCTCGAAGCCTTGGCTAGAGTAATGGGAATAGCATCAAGAGACACCTTGTTCCCTTTAGCTATTAGATCATGGTAGCCTTGTTTATAATAAGCCTAAAAAAGAAAATCCATATTATTCCAGAGAACCTAGTAATCACATGACCTATATGTAAGTCAAAGCTACTCCTAAGCTACTTCAGGCAATTCTTTAGAAGCAGGTGCAGTGGGGATCATATACACCCATCAGTCTTCATTTATAAGAACAGATTTATCTATTGATTAAATTAATTAAATGATTACATTAAATGATATCCGGTTGAAAATCCAGATAACACGAAGAACGAAAAATTACACTGATACATGTTGATTAAATAGAACTGCACATCAGTGAAAGGAACCTGCCATCTCCAACATATTACTCAAAAATTCATTAACAATTTGTAGAAAATGTTGTAAAGAAGTCACTTACATCACTGACATTAGCTGCATTGTATCTAGCTTGGATAAACTGTGGGAGATCCGGGGTTAGAGTATATTTATGTTTAACTTCCTCTCCAGAAGACCTATACAGTTTCTGTAAAATATACAATGCAGAAATAAATCCTTCTTTCCTTGTATAGATTACTCTAAGTTAACTGAGGGTTTATGTTTGATTTTGCAAATAAATGTACATTGCCACCTATTTCATAAAGATTGAGGCTGCACTTTTCAAACAGAATTGTTGATCTTACTGATATAAGGAATGCACCCTAAAAGCTTTGTACAGTCTTTACTCAGTAAAATTAAGCCCTTTAATGGACATAAAGCCTCATTTCTGAAAGAATGGGATAATAAAGAGTAACATAAAACAAAGCTTCCTTGTTATAGTGATTGACATACTATGATTTGTCGAACATTCTGTAGTTAATTTATTATTGTGGGTGGTAAAACATGAATAAACAACCTGGAAATTTCACATTTCTTAAATTAAATGTATTTCAAATGGGCAGAATCAGCTCATGTGAACTTAAAGAGGCACATGATTTCCAGAGAGATTTACAGACCTGTAAGAGAAATATACAGGCCTTATACTCAGGCAAAATCAGAGCACAAAACAATGTCAACATAGGGAAACATTTTCAGGATAATAGTACTTTAAAAAATTTTACAGACAATTCCCAACTTTTCAGTAGGTACATCTTTACAATATCTTTACTATAACACCCATTTCTTTCTCTACTTACATCATTGAGTTGAACTGAATTCTGTTTGGCTTGGACCATTACTGGAGAGTCCACCACACTTGTAAATTTAATGGTGTCTGGATGCTGGCGGTATTTCTTTTCATTCAAGGCATCTCCAGCTTTTTTAGCTTTTTCTACTTCTAGTGAGCCAATGGGAACCCAACCAATGCCTTTCATCCAGTTGTTATAATCAGCTTTGTATACATTCTAATAAAGGAGTGAAAACAACATTTTAAAAGTTAGGAAGTATTAAAAACAATTCAGGGACCTCTCCTGAGTCTTCACAGATTTTGCTTGAGGCATGTCAAAAAAATTGTGTTCACATGAGGTTTTACTTACATCACTCTGAATCTCCATCATATTCTTGGTAAGCTCCACATTCATTGCATCTGGTAAGTATGTATAGTGGTGGAGGAGGTTCTTGTAATTAGTGTTGCTGGCAATCTCTTGAGCCTTCTTGGCACCGACAACGTTGACCATATCCAGTGGAATGTTGTACTTAGTTTTTGTCTTCTCATAATCCTTCTTGTACTCTCGCTCAGATTGCATCTTGGCTACATTCATAGAATGAACGAGTTTGGGATCATCTTGGATGCTCCTGAAGCCAACAAACTTACCCTTGGCAAGTTCATAGGCTTTTTTATAGTTAACCTGTTAGAATATAACAGAACAAGGAAAATACCATCTAAGATTCTATGATTCTAAGTATAGTAACTTAGCAATAAGTAAATTAAAAGCAAAGGCTACCCTTTCTTTTCTACAAAGAGTATACCATATATCTTAGTAAATCCAGACATGTATCTCTTTACAATTCAGTGCTACACAAATCAGTTAGTTAGGTTTCAAAGTAGCGTTGTCTCACTTGTACTGATTCTGAGAGAGAGAGAGAGAAGTCTAAAACACTAAGGGACGTCTGCAAGACCATCCCCAAAAAACTACCAAAAATCTGGTGATGTCCTAGATTCTTCCATCTCATTTATGATTAGGCCTATAATTCATGACAGGGAGAATTCAGGGGTCCATTGCTCATGGAGCTGTTGCTACTGACCTACTCCTCATGATCTGCCTTAACCATACTGTAGTGCAATATAGTCTATTTATTCACGAGAATTAAAGAATGTAAAAACCCTTTTCTAAATGTAATTATACAAATACGTTACCAAAACAATGAAACCCAATAAAAATATAACTGTGTTAAATATATCCAATAACATGCTCAAAAAAAGCAATAAAGAAGTTCTCCTATGTGTCCTTAATAAACAGAATTGCAAACATTGTTTAAGTATAAACTCTCTTGAGTTAAACAGTTCCTTCAGGAAGGATGTACTTACATCACTGACAGCCTGCCTAGCAGCCTTGGCAGCTTGGATAGGAATGGCATCACTTTTTAGATCATATCCCTTTGATTTTAATTCTTCCAATCCCATTTTGTAGTAGTTCTAGAAGAAGAGGTGAATTTTTAATAAAGTTACTAGCTAACAGAAACTTCATATTGTAAGTTGAATTAAGAACTCTAGATGCAAAATATACTCACATCACTAATATTGTAGGCATTAACTTTAGCCTGTATAAACTGGGGCACATCTGGAGGGAGGTGGTACTTGTGAATAATTTCTTCGCCTTTGGATTTATATATTATCTGCAAAGAAAAATAATGAAGGAAATTTAACAACACAATATTTAGAGATTGCAAATGCTTAGCAGTGCTGAGTGACACAGCTTAAAGAACTATTCTGTGATTCTATGATCTCATGTTACCTCACTCACAAAGACAGACAGAAGAAATCCTAGTCTTTGCTAAGTGAGTGGTATAAACCGCATTGGCTTAACTTGTGTGAATACATTAAGAATGATGGACATAAACAAAATTACAAACATACACACTAAAAATTGACATGAACAGCCAACTGAAAACTAAAAAAAAAAATAAATCTGATTTCCAGGTAATCTTCCACTGGAACAGAACTGTGAATACACACAAATACTTCTGTGCTTGTGTGTGTGTGTATATGTGCACACATTTACTTACACATCCATTTCAGGAGTTCTCTTAAAACTGGATGATAAAGTAAAGGTAGTCAAGCATGTAGAAACTGACAATGTCAGAGTGCAGCAACCTATTTCGTAAGTTTACTCACATCACTCAGCTGCTTGCTATTGATCTCTGCTTGCTTCTGTACTGGAGAGTCAGTCACTTGAGTAAACTTGGTTTGATCAGGATGCTTTTTGTAGGTGTGCTGAAGGAAGATAATAAATATATTTGCAGAAAATGCAAATAAGCATAACTATCTTGTAAGACATTGTAATGTTGCATTACTTAGGATAGTTAACAGTTACGGCATGTGTGCAGACAAGCACTGTCCTGCACAACGGTTCTCATGTTACTTTTTAACATAACCAGAGAGCAAATAATTTTTTAAGTATTTTTAAAGTATTAATGTAAAAAATTTTAATAGGTATATAAATATTATAATGTATGGCATACATGATAATATATTATAAACATCATAGTCTATTCATTTTAGTATATTATATGCAAATATATATTTAAAGTATTTTCCAAGTATTGACAAAGTAAATAAAATAAGTATTAATGAAGAACTAAAGTATCTTTAATGTATTAATGGAAAAATACATTGACTTAAGCAGGTAAATGCTTGAAGATCATTACTCAATTTGGTCCTACTCCAATTTTATGGTTTTACTTGCTAAAAAAAAGATTATGCTATATCTGTCTTGATCACTAGATGTCAGAAAAGTCTCTAAAATACATCTGAATATGGCTTTTACAAGTCATATATGCTAATAAGACTAAATTCAAAATCATCACAGTTAAGAGGAATCACTCTGTAAATTTCTACGTGCATGAGGCACAGATATTCTTCATGTAGTTGGCTATTTGATAACCATTACTGTCCCATACTTACATCTTTACACTGCTCTAACTTCTTAATTGCTTCGTACTCCTGAGTTATGGTCTGAGGGAAGTAGCATCTTGTCTTTTCCTCTTCATACTCTGCTTTGTAATTTTTCTAGGAACAAAATCAACATTCAGTAAGAAGCCACAAGTGAGCTTTCTCTGACATGATAACATGATGGTGAAAACAGAACGATAGCCACACTTACATCGCTCTTCATAGCTTCAACTTTCATGCAGTGTATATGATGTGGGTCCTCAAAGCTGCCCAAATAGTGTCCTAAAATATTCTTTTGATATGCATCTTTGTATTTTACCTGGAAAAATAGTCACAAGTTGATAAACAAAAGTAATCAAGACTGTCAGTACTGAACAACGTAACATAAATCAAATACTTACATCACTAAAATTCTTCAGAACACTATCAGTCTGGAACTTTGGTGTGTCACAGTAATTAATGCTGGTTCCTTTTGATTGTTCATAGGCTTCTTTGTATAATTTCTGCAAAAGAAAACAATGTCAGATAATGCAGTATATTTCACTGCAACTCACAACACATTAAAAATGACAAAAGTAAAATAGTGAAATGATTGTAAAGAAAAGCTTTCCCAGAAAACTAAAAAACAGATAGCACTTCTTCCCAATGATTTTTAAAAAAATCTTTTTTTGGTTACTATTAGGTTTGTAATAAAAGACAGAAAGGTCTGACTAAGGGGTTTTGAACTCCTGACACTGAGAAGTATGCAATCTACTTCCATATGGATGAAAACAGCAAGAAGAGACAAATAGAGAAAGCCATTACAGTGAGTAACCAGAATACAATATTATAAATAAGTACCACATATTTTATCATTTTATTGGCATCAGTTGAAGTTCCTTAAAACAGTAAGGGAAGGGCTGTCATTTAGTGATTCATTTTCCATAGAGATCTAAGTGAACTATACAATAATTAGCTATCCTCAAAACATGCTACAGCTATTGTTCCATTCTGCTGTGGAGAAATGACTCCTTACCTATACTATTCTTGTGGGTGGTATTTCACAACAAATACTGGTCTATAAAACTAAAAATACTAAGAGATCCAAAGGAGAAGCCTTGTGAAGAAATGATGAGTTATTTTACATGAGTGAAAATCATCCAGCTGTACTTTCATAATACTTACATCACTCAGCACATTTCCTGCAGCTTTTAATTGCCTCAGCAATGGGTTCTCTGTAGCAGGAAGCACGTTATAATCTGCAATAGCTTTGTTCTTTTCATAGTCTGCTCTGTATTTTATCTTTAAAAAAATAAGAACAGTGAGGGTTTAAAAATCAGTAATAAAAGCCAAATGTTCACAAACCTGTATCATGTTGAAGTTTTCAGGAAAATTTCCCCTGGTTTTTAACATATGATTCATGATGGCAAAGGACTATGAAAGGCAGTCAGATCACAGGAGTGCATGGATGATGAGATGGGAGGCAGGATCACAACATAAGTGAAAGCTATTCAGTAGATGTCCCCACCTCTAAGTCCCTCTCCAAACATTGTAATTTTTCAAATATCAGCTGACATCTCAGAATAGTCATATTTTCACAAGTGATTATATAAGATTTTCTTTGCTGATGCATATGCTATTGCAGAAAATGCAGAAGCCAAATTTTGTACTTTGAATAAAGCACAATGTCACTGACATACACTGAGCAAGGATAATAAATATGAAAATACTGAGCCAAATTCAGCTAGCTTAAGTTGGTCTTGGTTAACAGCATGGATTTGTTCCAACTAAAAATTAGGCACATAACATCATCAGAACAAACAACGAAGCAAACTCCACTGAAAGAAAATTCTATTTCACAGGTACTACTGTGGAATACCACAAACATGGCTAGGAGCTTCCTGGGGGAAAGCACACAAGAATACATCTTTTGCATATAAGAAAATACTTTTGACACTTGACAAAACAGTTTCAGCACAAACTGGCCTGACTTCAGCACCACTCTCAAGCTAAACACTTGACATACCTTACTGACATTATTTGAAACTCGCTTATTAGCTTCATATTCTGGAGTTTCAGTCTGCATAAAGTAGATTTGGTCTTTCAAGTTTTCAAAATCTTCTTGGTATTTTCTCTGTTAGGAACAGAGATAAGCAGATAACAACACACATTATAAATGAGACATCCATGAAGTCACTTATTTAGAAAAAAAGAAATACTATGAATGGAGCAGGCAAAATTGATCAGTATTTTCCAGGTTAACAGAGGATAAACAGAGGATAAAGCTGTTCACATCAAGATTTTCTGAAGAATTCACTTACCATGCTTAGATTTTCTGCATTCATTTTCGCAATTGCAACATCATAGCATGGAGTTTGACTCCATTTGCCTTTGATCTTGTTTTTATAGTCCTCATGGTAAATAATCTATAACAAAAAAACCAAACCAAGAAAACCCAACAAAAAAACCCAAAAAATTAATGCCTAAGATGCAGTTCAATTTTCACTTGACAGATTTGATTTTAAAAGTCTTCTTTTTAAAGTTGCTTCACATTTTATATCTGCCTTATAATCACTTTATCAGCTATTGTCAAAAGCACCTTAAATATTATCTGGCCTATCCACTTCAGTATTCAGTTATTTCTCTTTGTACCTTGCCTGACCAAAAAAAGGATAAACAGCTGAAATAAGTCCCCTCTTCTAGAAAACAGTTATTAATAAGAAAATCTCTCTGTGAGATATCACTAATATATTCCTTTAGTTCTGTTTTCTCATTGGTCACATAACCTTGGGACATAGTCTTGCCCACTGGTTAAGCCAGAATTTATTGTTACTGCTGCTGAAACGTGTTGTAAGCAAACTCTTTAACATATGAATTGCCCAGTGTATGTGATTTCTATTAGACTAGATTCAAGCACACGGAAATCAAGCAGCAACTGTTTAAACAGACAGTTCCTGTTTTGTCTCAGTGTTCCAAATACATTTTCAGCCACAGTTGCTTATCATAAAAAATGCAACTTCTCCAGTGCCTTTTGAATTGTTACCACATTGATAAAGAACATATATGCTAAAAATAACCTTTAAAAATTCAACATTTTTGTTGTTTTGGATACCTATATAGCTTACTATTTTATTCATTTCAAAGAACTGCAATACTGATCTTGCTTTTCACACGTTTAGAAATTTTCTTGTTGACAATTTAGCTTTTAAGCTGTGGAAGGATAAGATTAAAGAAATTTTCTCTAAATGAAATTTTTTCACCTTCCAAATGGGTTGAATACAATATTTTCTTAGTGGATTTGAAACCATAAGTGAATACTTTAACTCTCCAATCTTAAACAGCAGATCACTTTTGACATACAGCAATAAAATCATGCATGTCTTCTTCATAATAGCTGAATTCTGAACTGAGTTAAAATCCTATTTACCATATCATGCAACTTAGCTCTAACTTCTCCAGCAAAACTTGGGTTTCCTGTATTTTACTTCACCTCCTGCAATCCTCAGCTGTGTTTTATTCTAAGTATACCTAAAATTCATTGACAAGGACTGGTGCCAGAGTCTTTGTCCCACAGTTATGGATGCCACATAGTTTTGAATGCCACATAGTTACAGAACTGAATGTTCAATATTTCTTGTTAATTCAGTGTGCAAATCTCGAACTGGTTATCTAAGTTTCCAGACATTTCCACTGATTGGTATCCATGGGCTTAAGAATGCTCAGGATATGTATGTGTACAGAGGTTGACAGTGAAATAAACATTTAGAATGTATTCTGCACAGTTGACCTAGGCAGCTTTTAGCAAAATGGGGTTATTCCCTGTAAGCAAGTAAATCACTCCAAAACTAGTTATATATTTACATGTCATTGTATACAGTTAAGAGAACAGCAAAATTGTTGTTTATTATTTTCTCCTGTAAACAGAGACAGTGTAAAGCAGGAGACAAAAAAAAAAAAAAAAAGGGGGGAGAATAGGCAGTAATGTGTGTATGGGAAACATTTTGTGAAAACTAAATTCACTGACAGGAATAAAATTTCGTTTTTCACCTAAGACTGGGCAGAATTTTCTATGAGACACCTAAGGAAGAAAGGAACTGACTTCTGCCACTGAAAATCAAAGAGGTCTTCACACATAAGCTCTGGTCTCTTCTTTCGCTTTCCCTTTCTCTAGGTACCTTTTTGCCTAATTCCAAAAGCAAGAAAGAAAGAAGAGCACTGCATTCTACTCACATCACTCAGCTGTCTTGTCACTTTCTTGGCTTGTTCCACATCGGGTGGGTCTGGGAGAGGAGTATATTTAGATTTTTGTTCATCATGCCCTTTTTTGTAGACAATCTGAAAATTTGAAAGAAGTAAACATTTTCAGTAACTAAGCATCAGGACATATACTCTTAACTCTGCTAACATCATCAGCACAAGCTCTTTCAATCAGTGTATTCTGGAATACTATTGAGAAGCCTCTTGAGAAGGGACAGTGGAAAAGAATCAACTCCCTGGGAAAGTCTTCAGGTGTATTTGTTCCTGATATATCCTGATATATATCCAGGTATATGCTGTTCCTGATAAACATGGACTAGTGAACTTCTGAACATCTGTAAAATTCACCAAAATCTTTGAGACCTGAGATTCTCAGTTGAAGAGTTCTATGTATCCAAGCATCAGCAAATCACACAGCCTCATGAATTCCTGACTTATCTTATAAGAGAGACAGATTTGATGATCCATGACAGTGAATTGGGCTTACAGCCAACCCTGAGAGTTTGTCCACACTTTTGAGAGATACTCAAAGTCTTCTTACTGATTACCTCAGAAAATCTTTAATAAATTCTTGCATTCATTCATAATCCAGCACCAAATTTCCTCAGATTTATACTTAATATAGAATACATATTTTTCTCTTGAAACAGCACTGCTATCAGAACTATCAGTGCACATCTACATATTTTTGTTTTCTGTTCCATTATGAAGTTTATGTTTAGTGCAAGTCCTCCATGAAGTCTACGAAGTTACACCATAACAGTGACCCAAATGTCAACCAGTCTTCAATACGTACATCACTCAGGGCCTTCTGAGCCTGAGCCACCCTCCTGAGCTCTGGACTGTCATTGTATGGATAGAATAATGTTTTGTCTCCTTCCCAGTCTTCAGTATAGAGTTTCTAAAACCCAGAAAAATGCCAGAATACTCATTATGAATTAATCTCCGACTGGGAATATTTCTTGCATTTCAGTTGCCTAGACCTGGCATATTTTTTACGTACCTTGCTGAACATTGCTGTGTTTTTTATTGCATTCACAAGCTCTGGAGCATCAGGGGGAAGCAGGTACTTGTCCTTATTCTCCTCCCAGTTCTGTTTATATAATACCTGGAAAGAAAGATCAGCACATTGATTATTCTACCATTAGAAAAATCATAGAATCATAGAACAGTTAGGGTTGGAAAGGACCTTAAGATCATCTAGTTCCAACCCCCCTGCCATGAGCAGGGACACCACACACTAAACTATGTCACCCAAGGCTCTGTCCAGCCTGGCCTTGAACACCACCAGGGTTGGAGCATTCACAACTTCCTTGGGCAACCGATTCCAGTGCCTCACCACCCTCGATATTTACTTTTGTGAATAAACTACCTGCTCTAAAGATATTTTTCAAAGCAAAAGTCTCAAACCAGTGATGCTTGAAGATATCAACTGGAAACATTTAATATTATATCTATACCTGCATTATCAGCTTCTCTGCTATTTCTTCCTGTGCTTCTAAACTGTTCTATAAGCATTTCTTTAGTGCCCTGAGCTCAAAACTTTATTTGTATCAGTAACTTCATAATCCACTAATGTTCACAACCCTTCCAAAAAATCAGAAATCAGAACTCACCTTGCTCACTTGCTGTGACACCTTCTTTGCATGTTCTATATCCATGGCCTTTTCATCAACGTGGCAAATAGTTTTAGCAACTTCACCAGCCATGCGGTATTTAACCTAGATCAGTGCACAACCAAATGCATTTATTCTTAAAGCAAAAACTGACACTTTTTTTAAAAAAGCAGAATACTGACATTTTGACACTCACTACTGTAAACACCCAAAACATTTAGGACTGGTTGTTCATTCAAAATTAAGCCCATGGAAACAAATGGATTTTGTGAATTAGCTGACAAAGAAATGTAGCTTTGAGGAAGTTTCAAGAGATGTGAATCCAAGTTAGAGGTAGTGCCTTTCTGTAATCACAGAGTTCGTTCTAAGAGTACTTCCACCTTGTATAATGAAATACAAGATCCCCATGCTATGCAGTACATCTCAATTTCAAAGTTCATTACCATGTAAACACTAGCTATAGTGCCAAAACCAACACAGCCACACTACCATGCCAAACCAGCCGCTTGGGAACAAAATCACCCTAATGCGGTTATATCACTTCCTACTTTACAGCAGGCTCAGCAGCATTAGTGTCTGGAATGCTGCATCACATTCCTCAATATATCCTAAGTCAGGAGTGGAGCAGAATTTAATGCACACTCTTCTCCTGAACACTGACTGGGACGGGTGACTACCCTCTCAGCTTTAGGAGTTCCCATTCCCAGGGATTCAGCTCCCCCCATTTACTGTACAAAGAATTAAGAAGCCTCTGTAGGTGGATTTCAGTTTCCCAGACTGCAAGGTGTATTGCTGAAAGGTAAACTAGAGCTGCTGCATTTTTCAGTATCTGTTTAGGAAACTGACTTTCAGTTGCTTTATGAAAACAAAAATGTTTACACGTTTTAAAACCAAAATTCTAGGGTTATTTAACCAGGGCACAACCTCAACAAAAATTCATCAGGCACATCATTCATGATGACTGCAGGACATTGTGTGTGGAATCTTCAAATTCTGTGATACAGACATCCCCATCATCTCCCATGCCTGTAACTTCCAAACAGAAATTTTCAAACCTCTTTAGGCACAATGAAGCAGGGCTATTATTCAGCTAGAAAAGAAACGTCTCCCTTCCTGGAAGGCCTAAATTCCAACCTACATCACAGAACTCAAACTTGTCATATACTCTGTATTCCTTGCTCTTGAAATCTGATAAAGTTTCTGCTAAATGTTTATATTGCCTTATCGCAATGTCATCAAAAATTTATCACTTATCTAACATTTAAAATTGTGACTTAACTTACTTTACTACTAATTTTTTTCCTTACGCAATTGTTACCTACCTCACTAAGCTGGTCTTGCACTTTCTTGATTCTCCGAATTTCTGGGGTATCAACTGTGGAAGCATACGGCTTTCCTCTTTCTTTTCTAAATTTTTCTTTATACTTGTTCTGAAAGAAAATAATGACAAATGTAACTAAGACATATCCTGGAGCTCTGGAAGAAATGTATGTAGCAATTACTGATTTATCTGGTTCATATAGGAATTTGAGGCAGATTATTCAATAATACCAACTAGCATTACACAATAACGCAGTTACACTTATTTTAGCCAACTGATGTGTTTCCATTTTACATCCACAACAGAAAATATCAATTTCTAAATTTAGCCTGGCTTAGATCACCTCTAATTGATTATATTGTCCTTGGGAGCTTAGTATTGATAAATATACAGTTGGTTCAGTGGCCAAAGATACAGAAAATACGTGGGTGGGGGTGGAAGTCCTAGACCTAAGATCTCACGTAATCCTTTAACAGTGAATGCTGGTAGGTAACATACATTAAAATTTAGGAAAAGGGATCAGACACCATCTACATCAGTGCAGAGCAGTCATTCTCCACTTTTCACAACATCATATAGTATTAGTCAACTGGACTTCAGTATCCTGTACCAGGAATTTAGGTTTTCGTTTGTTCCTATATACTGTGCACAAGGATTTTTCTTGGATATAGGCAGAGGGATAGAGAAATACACTATTAAATACTATATTTCTCTATATATTGAGAATGTACATTGATTAGTATATTCAATAAGGTTTGCTATTCAATAGACACTAATCCTTGTTATCATCGTTCACTCAGATATCCAAGTCAGATAGCGCAGGAGTCCTGTTAACTGACATCTTCATCAATCTTTAGCCATTTCTTGTGCCTAATGACTACCTAATGCACTTAAGCAGGAAATGGGCAAAACAGGCTAATTGAAAGAAGGCAGCTTCCCACTTCAGGCAAGTAATGTTAATACACATCATGAAACAAAGTACAGGAGACAAAAAGTAGCATGAAGGTTTGCAATAATCCCTATTAAATATTTTTAAAGTTGGTGTTCCTCAAGAAATAAAAAACATAGTACAACTTACTTCACTGAACAGGTCCTTCATTTTATTACTGTGTTGCAGGTAAGGTGTCAAAAACTTAGATGGGTCCACTTTTGTCCGTATTGTCTTCTTTCTGACTGGAGGTGCTGCATCTTCAACAGATTTTTCACGTTCAACAGTATAGGTAGTTGTTTTAGGACCTGAGAAGTCTGTGCTAATGGTCTCAGTGATCTCAGTGACCACCTGGGAATAAAGAAAAAAACAATTACTTGCTTTACAGCTATAAAAGTTTAATAGGAAAAGCATTTTTCATCTCCCCTATCTAGTAAAAGGATGCTCAGTTCTTATCCAGGAACCACCTGCAAGACAGAAAATCAGAGACACTTTTCCTATTGAGCAAAGTATGCTCACTGTGCATCACAACCTAAAAAACCCACAAGGAATTAACTGACTGACTGATCTCTGTACCAAACTCATGTAATTATTCTCCAGAGGCACTGGAAGAGTGGGGCTCCTGCTGCCTTTGTTCTATATGCATAACAAAACATGAAGGTATGTGCTATAAAAAGTTGTAATAAGTTTATAAAACTTGGAGAGGCTTTTCTTTTTATATATCTGTCATGGTTTAAATGCAGCTGCAACTCAGTCCCATGCAGCCACACGCTCTCTCTCCTGCTCCTCCCCTTCCCAGGTAGGATGGGGAGTAGGATCACAAGAATGTAAAACCCACAGGTTGAGATGAGAACAGTTTAATAACTAAAATAAAGTACAATACAATACTAATACTAATGATAGTAATAACATGGACAGAGAGAGAGATAAAACTAAAGGGGAAAAAAAACACAAACCAACCAAAAAAACAACAAAGAAAACTAACAACAAAAAAATCCCAGCAAACATAAGTGATGCAGAACACAATTGTTCACCCCCTGCCAAATGATACCCAGCCTGACCTGAGCAGCAGTCATACCCTTCCAGGTAACTACCCCCCCAGTTTCTATACTGGGCATGATGTGCTGTGGTATGGAATACCCTTTGGCTAGTTTGGGTCAGGTGTCCTGATTCTGCTTCCTCCCAGCTTCTTGTGTCCCTCCTCGCTGGCAGAGCATGAGAGACTGAAAAGTCCTTGATTGGGGTAAGCGCTACTTAGTAACAACTAAAACATTGGTGTGTTATCAGCATTGTCCTCAGCCTAAAGCCAAAACACAGCGCTGCACCAGCTACTAGGAAGAAAATTAACTCTATCTCCCAGCTGAAACCAGAGCAATATCTCACAGGACCACATAACACTAATGCATTAGACTATATTTACAGACGATGGGAAAAGGTCTGATCACATCAGGTAGAAAGACATTCATACTCATATGTAATTCTTCATTCCACAACACTAACTGATGCAAATCAGACACAGAAATGACCAATCATGCTATTGCTCCCTTTAAATCCAGTTTGGCTACAGATTTTAGAACACCTGATAGATGCAGTAGATGAATTAACCTTAAAAATCATAAGATGGTTGTCTTCCTTCAAAAGTGTAATCCTCCATTACTTGCTGAAACAGTATTAATAAAATTGTATTTTATTAAATTAAAAATACAGGAAGGCTTTGGGAACAGATGTTTTGTTTGGAAGGAAACATGCTCACAAAGTGAAACCTTAAGCTTTTGTTTCCAGATAAGCCTGTATCATGAAGAGTATTTCATAGTAACATAGCAGAGTTGGGTTATGTCTATATTGCATGTAGAGTTTCAAATTATGGCAATAATGGCTTAATGACTCAAGTACTTGTTACCAGTGACGTGAAAAAAATTTGCAAATCACAACTTTTTGGTGAAATTACACAAGGTGAAGGGAACAGAACTGATATAAACTGGCTTCAGGCAGAATCTTTTTATAGTTCTCCTTATAGCGAGGTTAAGTATAATGCATGTATGTGCCCATCACTGATATGTACATATGTAGTCACATTCACATCCTTGATAATTCTGTTCATTTTTAACATTGAAGATTGGATTTTGTCAATATGGTTCCCAATTGTAACCCTCCTGCCTGTGTTTCCTATTATTAACAGAACCTATTGCTTCATTTTGTTAGCTTCTGTGCAAACAGCTACCGGGCAAAAGGAAATGGAAGATACCGGGTGGGACAGAAATTAGGACAGGCCTTTTCTGATGGACACAGCCACAACTCCCTCTAATGGAAACCAATGAGTGGCAGATCGGATTCTCAGAACAAGCTAGGAGTCCTCCATATCGTCCCACAACAGAGTGGGAAATAAAGTTTTAAAAAGCAACTGTTCACTGATACTTGTGTAGTTAACATGAAAAATTAGTTTGTGGCATACAAAATTTAGCATTACTTATTAATTTCATGCATATATAAACCACATGCAACATTACAGGGACCTTTACCTCATATGGTTCGCCCTCCTCAATAGTTGTCTCTTCAATGTAATACTGTGAAAAAAAGGAAAAAAAAAATCATTGTTAGGCCAGATCATCAGAATAGCAAATTGTAGCTTCTGTTAAGCTGTTTTAAAAACACACTTCTGGGGAAATAGGACTGTACCTATGTGGTCAGATTTGCACCCTTGGTTAATTCTGAACATCTTTTGTTTTTTTTTTTTTTTGCATTAATGATTGGATTTTTTCCATGCATTCCTCCCAAGTAATTAATAAAGGATCATTATTTTATTTTAACTACCAGAGGGAAGACAATGATAAGTGCATTAAAAGAAAGAATTAGCATTCAAAACCCCAGGATTTTCCAAGTCCTTGGTAGTACACTGAGAGGACTGTGTAGGTTTCTCTCTCTAATGCTGTCCTCAGAGTTGTTCCTACCTACAGATCCTTGAAGAACACCAGTAATTAGTGTCAGCCAGCTGGACTTTGTACTACTGACCACAATTCTGAGCTCAGCAGCTCAGCCAATTTTCCACCCACTTTATTGATCATTTGCCCATCCCACATCTCAGAAATTTGGTGATAAGAAGACTATGGGAGACTGTTTCAGAAAACTTCCTAAAGTAGCCAAGATGTGCAGCATTCACTGGTCTCCCTTTGTCCATAGCAGCAGTGAACTCATTATAAAAAGCAATCGGTTTGGTCAGCCATGATGTGCCTTTGATATATCAATGTTCACTGCTCCCCATGACCTTCATGTCTTGCATGTGTTTAGAAATAGCTTCTAAAAGTATTTGCTCCCTAGCCTTCCCAAGGTCTGATGTGAGGTTGACCAGCCTGTAATTCCCTGGATCTTCTTTCTTGCCTTTCTTGAAGATGGATATAACATCTTTTTCCATGAACATCCTTGCATGACTATGAGCTTTCGAAGGTGATAGCAGCCTTGCAACGTCATCAGCCCATTCCCTCAGCACCCCTGGATTCACCTCCTCTGGTCCTACTGAACTGTGTACATCCCCATGGGTTGTCAACCCTAACTCCATCTTCCTCTGCTGTGGCTACTACTTCACTCCCATGTCTCTGCTAGGAAGGTCAAAGATGTGGAAGACCACAGGACAAGCCTTATCAAACCTGAGGCAAAATAGGCGTCAAGTACCTCAGCATTTCGCCTGTTCCTTGCAATTTTATCTTGCTCACTCCTCTCTGAATCTTCAACTCCACAGTCTTGTGGCCACTGCAGCCTTGGCTGCCCTTGACCAGCAGTTCTTTCTTGTTTGTGAGTAGCATGTCCAGCAGAGCATCTCTCCCAGTTCATCAATCAACTGTACTAAGAAATTTATCTTCAAAGTACTTTCCCAAAATCCCCTAGGTTGCTCGTGCCCAGCCATAGGGCGTTCCAGGAGATACTTGGGTGGTTAAAGCCATCCTGAAGTGCAAGGGCTGTGCCTGTGAGCCTTTCTCCAGCTGCCTAAGAAGTTCCCATGGCGCTGCATCTACTCTGAAGTGGCAGATCTGCAGGTGAAGCACGAACCTTCCTCCTGTTGCCCAGAAAACACGAGTTTCCTGCCTTTTCCTTCCTGATGGCCACCATCCCTCACCCATTTAACCATGGTCTCCAACTGGCACTCCTGCCTTGCCGTGTGTGACTTGGCCTCTTGCTTTTCATGAAGGTGCTACCAACAAACTCTTCCTCACTTCCATCACGGAGCAAAGCATGCTCATCTCATCCTCCTGGAACCTGCGGCGCAGCTGACCCGACTAGGACACATCTTCCCCCGGAGAGGCAACGAAGACTGTGCCTTGCTGCCCTGTGGGCTGGCAGCTTGCCGTGCCCAGGGCGCTCAGCTTGCGGCGGCCGGGAGCCGGAGGCGCCACAGTTGGCTCGGG